GGGGCCTGGCAGAAGGGGTGAAGGATATTAGGCAGTACAGGGCCCAGCAAGGTGGCTCCCACCTGTAATCCTAACTCTCTGGGAGGCTGAGGCAGGCAGATTGCTTGAGCAGGTGAGTTTGAGACCAGCCTGAGCAACACTGAGACCCCCGTCTCTAAAAATAGCCAGGTGTTGTGACAGGCACCTGGAGTCCCAACTACCTGGGAGGCTGAGGCAAGAGAATTGTTTGAACCCAAGAGTTTGAGGTTGCTGTGAGCTACATCACCATGACACTCAAACCCAGGGCAACTGAGACTCTATCTCAAAAAATGAATGAATGAATGAATTAATGAATGAATAAAGGCAGTACGGGCAAGACTTGGTCACTGAGATCACTCAGGTTACTGGCATGTGTGACAGAACAGATGAGGAGTTAACACTGGATTTGAGGCAGGGCAAGAAAAGGGCATGGCTTTGCGTTTGGTCATGCAAAGTCCACATGGGAGGCCTCACAGCTAGCTGGAAATCCTGGCCCACCTGAGCCAGATGCGGACTTTGGAACTACTGCTGTGAGGTGGTAATTAGAGCCCTGGGAGTGGGCGGGAACACTCAGGGCAGAGTTCAGAGGGAATGAAAGCTTTGGGCAGAATGGCACCATCTAAGGGAGGGGTGGAAGGGATTCCCCAGAAAGAAGGCCAAGAAGGAATGGCCAAAGAGCTGGGTACAAGCAGGTGGAGGAAGCCAGGGAGCAGGCTGGGAAGGCCCCGGGCACAGGGGTTGCTAGAAGCAGGGAGTGATCAGTGGCATCCTGGGAAGTCACACTGGTTCTACAAAAGCAACCTGGACACTCATACCCAGTTAGCACACCCCTTCTGCACCCCCAGAAGCCTTCAAAATGCATCCCCCATAATAAAAACATCACATATGATCTAGAATTTAATATATGTTTATTTGTGTAGTAGGAACATTCAGGTATATAAATAAGGTAAATACTTTCCAATGTACACATATCATGTTAACACTGTGTGGAGAAAGAACCTCCATGTACTGGTCAGAAGTGCACAGAGCAAGATCAAGTGCAGCACACAGTGAGACACCAAGCTGGGGAGACGGCACAGCAGGAGCGCACAGGCACACGCCTACGTGGGGAGGCTGTGAGGACGGCCACGTGGGCCCGCACACCCGAGCGCTGCTGCAAGGTCGCTGTGTCTGAGGATGGTAAAACTGAGCATCAACACAGGACAAATTCCAGTGTCCATCTACTTTACAAAGGGAGCAGCAGAGAAACTGACTGGGGGTGCTCTGCCCCGTCACAGAGGCGGGAGGGCCAGGGCACACAAAGCCCATCTCTGGGAGGCTTGGACACTGGGAATGGCCCCATGTGACTACCTGGCACTCCAAGCACAGGCGGCTCCCGCAAAGGGTGGGAAGGCCATTTCTATGTTTGGGGAACTTTCAGGTTAAATAAATTCTCAAAGTGAACAGAATTAAGAAGGACGTCCACAGCTACGCATAACTCACCAAGAACACCAGGTTTCCCTAAGACTCTCCCCAAACAGAGGGGATTCCTGTGTCATCCTTCCCGTCTGTTTTAGAAGGTGTTAAACATAAGTAAAAATTAAAACTTGCAATCAGCATCAACTCTGAAAGACAATCCATGACCTTCAAACTTCCCTGCATGGGATTTCCAAGTCCAGTTTTCTGGTCCCAACACCCACATAAGCGTTCGCTGGGCTGCTCTGTTAGAGTTGGCCCTCAGCTGCAGGCTCCTGTCCAGAGGTCCTTTGCCCCTGGTGTGGAGACTTTTCTGTGGACAAAAGGCTGCCCTGGGTCCATTCCATGGCAAAATGAGGGAGGAAGCATCAGACCTGGAAGCATGAGCCCAGAAGGGCAAGGGGACCCTCTGGGGCAAGCCCAAGATCAACCCAGCACAGTAGCTGCTGCTAAGACCCCCCAAACCATCTTCTCCAGTTTCACGGCACTACCATTACTTCATTTACTAACTGAAGGAGAGAGACCAATTCAAATGCCAGCAGTAGGCTCTCAGGTCCCACTAACACCAGGAACTAATCCACACTCAGGCCGATAGTTCTACACTGTTACTATTCAGTTGGCTTAAGAATTCCACGGGGCCTTGGAAGTGAGCAAGCCCCGCTTCACTCACACCCCTTCCCAATTCCCCTTGTCTCCGTTCAGAAAGGGAACTGACAGGAACTTTTTCACTGTTCTGTGACTAGTCCTCCTTTCCTCTACGAATCACCCATTTGATCTTCTGCTAAGCTAGAATCTGACAGAGACACCCCACACCATCTGTTCTCAAGGGGTTGCCCGCATCTATCATGTTAATACTTGTAAGAAAGAACGAAACCCAAGGCCCCAGATTGGCTGCATGGTACAGGTGTGCGCTGGTCTTCCAGGCTTGCGGTCTGTCAGCTCCCACACTGCAGGTTCCCGAGCTCTGTGTTCAGGGTACAGCCTTGGTTAGAGGAGAAAATGGGGTCTGGAGCACGTCACAGACAGGCCTTCACTGCCCAGAGTGGACGCACCACCAGGCAAGAGGAAGTGGCCTCCTTCCCATGGGCTGTCCAGACCGTGGGCACAGGAGGTGGGCAAGATTCTCAGGGCAGCCATTCCCATTAAGGACAGAATTTCCAAACACCCTCACTGCCTCCTTCCTTTTTGTCAGGCTGGCCTTCAGGACACACGAGGCATGCCAAGATGTTGCCAGGGGGTGATAAGGTTAGATGGCATCTCTCAGAAGGACCTGGGCTGTGTGCAGGATGGTAGCAGTGTCATGGCTGAGAACCCAGCCTCTGGCATACACCAACGTGGATCAAGCTACTAGCTGAGTTCAGCAAAAGAAACTATCATTTATTGAGCGCTTACTATGTGCCAGGCACTGTGCTAACTGCTTACATGCGTTATCTCTTTAAATCCTCACAACTCCCCGTGGAGAAGGCACTATCATCAGAACCAACCAGGTTGGAGGTGGGAACTTAGAGCAGCCTAGGAACGTGCTCTGACCGAGGGCTGTGTGAACCCAAGGTCTGTCTTCTTAACTACTGCTCTCAACCTCAGTCACAATGCCTCAGTTTCCTCATCTATAAAACAGATAATAATACCCAATCAAAGGTTGTGCTCTGGATTAAAAGGGATAACGTATGCAAACCCTTAGCACTGTGCCTGGCACATATTAAGCACTATAATATTGCAATCATTAACGAACACACTGCTGACATCTCACTGGCTCAAGAATAAGAAGAGTAGAAATCTCAGTAGATAGGACCTCTATTTGGTGGAGAAGGGGAGGGGAGAGGGCAGAGTCTTCAAACAACCCATGAAAAGAGACTAGTTTCAATGGATGTGAAGAGTAGTTCTCATACATTACATTATACAGAACTGTACAACACTAAAAACAGATACATTTTAAATATAGTTAATACGGTGGCTACTAAAATGCACAGACCGTGCAACAGGCAAAAATAATAAACATACAGACAATACATAAGCAGATGGCCAAATGAAAAAATAATAGTAATAAGAAACATACATAAGGCCCGGACTGCCTTAGAGGGTTTCACTTTTAGGAGTAGAACATGAAGCATGTACTTTTGAGATGCAGAAAGCAGTTAAGAAGGCCACATGCACATACACAAAGGAAAAGGCCTGGTGCCCTGTGAGCAGTCACGGGCAGAACTCCCGGTGGGGACCGCCAGCTTCTTATTTTGAGTGTCAGTGGTGGTTTCTGTGACCCTTCCTTCATCAACTCCTTATTCCATCAGTTATGAGCTAACAGTAATTTAAGCTCCAACTTGGTTCGGGCCCGGCCTCATGACTGGAGGGGAGGAAAAGCACGATATCCCAGGCGCACTCACACCACGCGTCCAAAGGCAGCAGGGCTGGTCCTGTGCACTGAAGGCGTCCTGACACCACCACGTCACCCCAGGGAAGGTGGCAGGGCTGGTCCTGTGCACTGAAGGTGTCCTGACACCACCACGTCACCCCAGGGAAGGCGGCAGGGCTGGTCCTGTGCACTGAAGGCGTCCTGACACCACCACGTCACCCCAGGGAAGGC